GGCTCAACATAGTCAGGAGAGCCTTTCAGGTACTGGGTGCTGAGAGACGGGACAGGGTCCAATCTCTACCTTAGGGCTAAATATATGACTTGTTTAGTCGTGCAGATAAAATGTATCCCTCGTTCTGTAGGTTTACCACTGTGTTTCATGCCTACATGTACTTTTGTGCAAATACCATACTGTCTTTATCACCATGGCTACGTAGTATAGTTTAATGTTGTACCTCAAGCTATGTTTTTTGGCTTAGAATTGCTTTAGCTATCTGTGAACTTTAGTATTCCCATACAAATTTGAGAATTTTTTTCTAGTTCTGTGAAGATTATCATTGGAATTTTGGTAGGAATCATATTGAATCTGTAGATTGCTTTTGTGATGCAGCCATTTTCACATACTAACTCTATCAATCCAGGGGCATAGAGTCTCTTTTTAGATCCATGGTTTAGGTTTATTCCTAGATTCTTTTTTTTTTTTTTTTTGGTTATTTTAAATAGCATATTTTTTCCTGATATCTCTATCAGCAAGTTCAGTTTTGATATATATAAAAACTACATTTTTTTTTTTTTTGGTTTTTTTTGTTTTGTTTTGTTTGTTTATTTGGAGCTCAAATAAACTCAGTCTGTAGACCAGGCTGTCCTGGAACTCAGAGGTCTGTCTGTCTCTGCCTCCTGAGTGTTGGGATCAAAGGCTAGCCCACCACACCCTGCTAAAAGCTAATTTTTGAATGTTGACTTTGTATCTACTGAAAGCTTTGTGGTGGAGTCCAAGAGGTCTTTTAAGAACAAAGAAAGTTTATGTGCCCAAAAGGATAAAGCCCTGGTTAGTTTTGTTGTTGTTGTTGTTGGTGGTGTGTGTGTGTGTGTGTGTGTGTGTGTGTGTGTGTGTGTGTGTGTGTGTTTTATCAACGTAACACAAGGTAGGTAGTGATCTGGGAAAAGAAGAAACCTCAATGGAGAAAATGCTTGTAGGCAAGTCTATAGGACATCTAATGAGTTGTTTGGGAGGGCCCAGCTCACTGGTGAAAGTGCTACTTCTGGCTACCTCTGAGATGATCCTGGTTGTTAAGAAAGAGGGCTAAGCAAGCCATGGGTCAAAGGCCAGCAAGCACTATTCTTCCATAGTCTCTTGTGTTCCTACCTTCTGTAGTTTTCTTTTGTCTTTAGAGTTCAGGACCAGTCAGTCTTGTGCTGGCTCCACAGGCAGTTTGATAATGTTCCTCTTTGTTCTACTTCATGGAGTCTGACCAGGTCTGACTGGTACCAGATCTTCTTGAACTTTTGGTGGATTTGACAGCATATCACTTCTCTAGTCTTGACTGTACTAAGACTTTTAATCAATGCCCTTTTTTCCCTCCTGGTTTGCTATGGGTATGTTCAGAGCTGATATTATGGCTTTGATTTCTGTAGATCATACGAACTTAGAAATTTACCCATTTTTTTCTAGATTTTCCAGTTCATTGTAGTTCTCAAAGCATTCCCTAATGATCTTGTTTTCATTAGTCTGCTAAAATAACTCCCTTTTTGTCATTGATTTTATTGATTTGCATCTTCTGTTTCTTTTGGTTAATTTGGCTAGTATATGGTCAATCTTGTTAAACCATTAAAAAAAAGTAGCTGTCTGCTTAATGTTGTGTGCTGGTCGTTCTATCCCATTCACCCAGCTCTGGTTTCTAGTGCCATCTGTAGACTTGTGTTTGGCTGCTCCTGGCTTTTCCAGAGCTTGGAAACATAAGCACACAGAGCTGCAAGCTCTCCTCTCAGGGCTACTGCCTTCATTGTACCCGAAAAGTTCTTGCTTTCATTTCATGCTAGGGACTTTTAAATTTCTTCCTTAATTTCTTCAGTGACCTAGTATGGTGACTCTCCTAGCTGTACCTTGAGATTTTGCAATTTTCTTATGCATGTTTTGAATTGAATTCCATGTGTTTCTTGGGGATCTCTGGCATTTCCGTGTCTCAGCTGTTTTCCAGTATTGAGAGGCTGTCTTCTTCTGGGGTGTTAGGGTGGAGTGTCACTCATGCAGTGCTGTTGTACCCATGTGTTGGAGTGTACATACATGTCCTCTGATTTGTAATGTTCCTCTTTTTCTTACAAGTCGACCTCAGAAAACAACTAAGACAGTTTGAATACTAGCTAGCTGCAGAAGACAATACTGAGCACTTGATTGTGTCCCTATCAAGGTTTGAAAACAGGAGTCTTGACTGGAGGAAATTCAGTATATTTAAGTGAGGATGGAATGAGGTGTAAGAAATGATAGACCGAGAATGAAAAGGTCAGCCTTCAGGTTAGAAGACTGAAGAAGTACAGACAAAACTGCATATTTGAGGGCAGACAGATAGAAGGGAAACCATAGAAGCAGGCCCTCCCTTCTTCCTGCTTTACAGCAGGGTAAAGGAAGACAGCTTCCATTTACTTTTAAATGACTCCCTGTAGAATCACTTACAAACTGTGTTCTTCAGAGCAAAGCCCTATATAGCTAGGCCACATCAGATGTGATGGCCCAAAACTATGATCCCACAACTTGGGAAGTGAAGGCAAAAAAATCAGTAGTTCAAAGTTGTCCAAGTTCCAGGCAAGCCTGGGATACATGAGACCCTATCTCAAAAGAATACCAAGGCCAAATCACAGAATTGTAAGTGAAAATCATATTATCAAATATACAGATTAACTTCTCCCATGATTTATAAGAAAAGACAATACTAGAACCAGTGCACTGGGTGAAACTTGTCATTTACCTAAATGGTAAGGGGGAAAGAATAAAAGGCATTGTGCAAAATAATTCCCACAAAGACTCTTACAGAATAAGTGAAAATACAAATTGTTTCTAGGCATTTAGCTTGCAACTCCAGATATGGTCCCATTCCAGAATACACACAGCCTAAAGTGTCCCTGACCATACTGTAGCCTGTCTACACAACAATTCCATGTCAACCAGCAGACCCAGGACAGCAGTGCCCATTTTGCCTCAAGGACTCATACACTCACCAGAGAATCAAAGGCCCCCAGCCATGGAGGCTGCCCTGCCTCTCAGACCAGCATGGCACACGTGCTACCCAAGATACACATGTTATTGGAGCTGCTGGCAGTTTTCTTCCTAAGAGTTCATGAGAAATCCAAATTCTTATTCCAAGCTAAAAACTCATTTTCTCTGTATCAATGATATGCTATAGGATTGTTTCCAGACTCTTCAATTTCAAAATCCTTACTAAGTAAGGGAGCCTGGTGGGAAAGGCAGGTAGGTTTAAGCACAACTTACTGACTCCTTTCATAGTTGCTTCTTCCCCTCTAAGAAACCTTAGAAATTTGGAGTCTGGTTTCACCTCAGCTTTCAGAGAAACATGAGGCAAGACTATACCACACCAGGGAGGTGGGGGAGTGAAGGGGGTGGTAGGGTGGGGAGAAGTGATATCTTAGGCTAAGGCTCACAGCTTCTGAAAGAAGCATCCTGACCCTTCTCTCTCTCATCAGCACCAGCGCCAGGATCACGCTCTTGACCAGTCTCCCAGTGGTGTGTGCATTTTTGGTTTATTCATTGAGGGAGCACGGTGGGATCCTAAACATGAAGTATTGGAAGACTCATTGCCCACTGACTTATGCTGTGAATTTCCTGATATCCAGTTTTTGCCAACAATGAAGGTAATTACCCTAACTTAATAAGGAAATCCCATATTTCAGGGTTCCTGTGATCTCATGAGGGAAATGTTCAAAGGGCTGATTTATTTGCTTCAAAGGGACAGAGGGTAGGAAGAGAGACAAAGACATGAGATAGAGGAGGAAGGAGAGGGAAAGTGGAACAGAGATAGGTATTTGCCCCAGGGGGACAAAGGACTGCCTCTAGATAGAGACAAAGTGCCACATAGGAAAATGACAGTTTACATAACAAGGGGAAATCCTGTGTTAAGATTGGGCATGTTAATTAGGGTGGCCCAAGGAGGCTTTTGATTGCTGGACTTTGGTAGTGAGCCTCAGGAGGAAGTGGCTAGCTCTTCCAATGCAATCTAACAGATTTTTAGCAAGGAAGAGGGAACAGGGGAAGGACAAGGCCTGCCAGGGGCGTGGTTAGCTCATGTTCAGGCCTATTAGAGTCCCTTCAAATGTACTAATGAACTTTAGACAAAATAGTACAATACTGTTAAAACTGATGTCCAGCATTACCTCTCAGAAAGCTATCAAGTTATCTCTATTTTAACTTTTAACTCTAGATACAACATGCAACTGCACTATCATTTAGTACAAAAAAATGTATTTAACTCATAGCAAATGCCTGAAACCTACTCATGGAAAGTGTGATCTATTGGTTTTGTTAGCTGTGAATCTTTATTTTTAGATTGAAACACCCCATGCTTCTGACCAGACAGACCCAGAACTCCAAACTTTTGAATGTCCAGTTTACCTAACACCTGAGAGGTCAAGAAATATTAGTGGTTTACCAACGAATTTCTTAACATCCGTGTATTTACCAACCAAGAAACCTCCTAGTCACTGGATCACCATGCAGGTTGCACTGCTGTGTGAGAAGAATGAATAAAATAAATATCCATAAGAAAACGTTTAAAGTTTGAGCTCTACCCAAATTTACACACATCAAGACATCCACTTGTGGGGAACAACCCTGTACTGTCGTGTGCCTGGCCAGCCTCAGCAGATGCAAGGGAGACTTCACTAGGTAGGCAGGGTCTGTACTGGCTTTCAAATGAACACATCTGTTTCTGATACAATAACAGCAAAAAAACAAACATGACCAGTTTGTTTAAGAGTTGGGACTTGGGGTTTTGGTTTTTGAGACCAGGATGGTCTCAAACTCATGATGACCCTCCTGGATAGCTGCAGTTACATTGGCTCAGGCTCCAGCAATCTGAAAGTCAGGAGTTCCTGGGTTCCTAGGTTCCTAAAGCTCAAAAATATCCAAACAATTGAGCCTAGAAAAAAAAAAATAGGTTAAGGTTGCAAAGTATGGGCTGCTATGTAACCCCAGATCTACAGGCAAAAAGAAGGAGGCTCTAAGTGACCAAAGCAACTCTTTATTTTCAACTAAAATTTTATTACAAACCTTGCCAAACATCAAATTAAAAAACAACTTGCACACTATCCTATCTCAGGCTCTTTCTCACTACCAGGCAAAGAACCCCACATTCCCTTGTAAGTTCAGCACACATGTGCTGATACCATTTTCTGATACCAGGAGAAAAGCGAAATAGAAAAACACCTACTTGAAAACCTTAGTACTGTAAAATAATGACAATTTCATAAAAACAGTCTAAAAATTATAGCATGCAGAGTGTCAACTTCATGATCATATTCTAAGCTGCATGAACTCTTTGCATCGAAACCCAAATGTACACAGTCTCACTACATCCTTGTGTAATATTCTGAGAACCATGTAGCTTTGAATATAAAAGTCTAGGGAATTTGCCACCTACCCTGCTCCTGCTCCAGGAGAGTTACTATGAAACTAAAGTTTAAACTAGCTCCTTAAAGTTGTTTCAGGTAGAATTATGATACAAAATAAACTGTCAAAAATATATAAAAATAGTAGCCTGAAATGGCAATTTTTCTAACACCAATGTGTGTAAAAATGTTTAAATAGTGCTGTTACTCCAAAAATATATTTTTTTTCTATTTGCAACAGTTTATAAAGGCAAACACACCTGCAAATTGAGGTAGCAAAGCCAAATTCACAAAACTTTGGATAAAGAAAAATAACTTTTCTATGTTTTAACTTTAAATGAATTCTAATTGCTTTACATTTTTAAATTCACATTACTTTACAAAAACTTAGTTCCTGACAATTATCTCACATTCAAAAACTGTACAGAAAAATCACAAGTCACCATATATTTACATAAAAGTGTAAGCTATGTATTTACATTTCCAAATGCACTTTTAACGGCTGAGGCCAGGCCTGCTATAAATGGCCACCCTTAAACAGGGCCTGCAAGAAATCTGCTTACTCTTCACATATACCACCAATACTGGGCTGGGGTTTACTGGACATATATTTAGAGACAGAATTTTCATTAATGTCTCTTTAAGTACAATAAAGCATAGATGTGCTTTAAAGGTTTTCACTTAAGAAAAACAAAAAAAAATTTTTTGAAAAATAAAAAAGCCTTCAGATTTTTAGGGATTAAAACTTTCCTATTAACAAGCAAATTCTATCACCTTTGTGTTTCCCTTATTAACTGCTATACAACTACATTAAAAGGGTCTACTATTTGGCTCTGTAGTCCTGACTCAAAGAACAAACTCAGAGCTCCTGTCAGTGCACCAACAGTTCGTTCTTTTTTTTTTTGTTTGTTTGTTTGTTTTTTTTTTGTGTGTGTGTGTGACAGACATCTGACCTATGGTGGCATCGAGTTCGGGTCAGTAAACATAGGGGAGGATGCGGTAGGGCACACGCTGGCAGTACTTCTCCCAGGCCAGGCCATATTTCCTCTTACACTGGTGCTCATCACGAGCTTCGCGGTGGACAAGCAACGCAGTGAAGTAGATGACATAGAAGTAAGGCAGGAGGTGGTTAAAACCTGTAGGTGACAACAGCAGCCACTGAATGTTTTTATTTCCATTACATGATTTTTCCTCATTTCCCTCAAATGCCTGAATAGCTAGTTTTCCGATTAAGGTATGCCAGATCACAAACAGTCTTCTTATTTCCAATCCCCTCAAAAGCTAGACAGCAACTGACAGACACCAAAGAACAAAGGTCCTGGAGCCCACGGCAGGCAGACCTGCTCCAACCAATGAATGACACAGAGTGATCAAGTTAGCACTGAGATGCTTACCACATGGGAGGGACCACGCCAGCGCCATGATGAGGTCACCTAAGTAATTCGGATGGCGAACAAAGCCCCACCATCCAGAGACAAGCAGACTCTTACCCGTGGACGTATGAATGGTCTTTAAATCTATGTCAAAACAAAAACATCTTAATGACCTCTAAAAAATGAGCCATAGAAACCTACATCTATAAATATATAAATACAAATCACAAATTTAAAGAAAACCTTACGTGCAAGCTTCGGATCAGTGGGATTCTTCCGGAATGCATTTTTCTGGGAGTTTGCACAACGGAAGATTACATAGCCACAAACTGAAATGTTAAAATATTTCCTTTAGTAATTTAGGTGTAAATTACTAACATCTAAAATTACCTGAAACTTGTTTCTGAGCTGTAGAGAAATAGTCAGTGAACTCTTCTTAAATCTCACTCATCATCCAGCCAACCATGCCCACAAAGACACAGCAACAGGGGCCACTGAATACAGGTTACTCTCAGACAATTCCTCAAGAAAACACCAGCGTCTGCACTTCAGTGTGAAACCCTTCAGCCTCATAGGTTTACTCACATTTCCACAGGCCCTGACCTGGCATTGCTATATAATCTGAATAACAAGCTCCAATCTCCATTTGAGCTGCTCTGTGACACAGACTGTTCGGATTAACTCACATAAGCAAACCAATGGAGAAACTACATCTTCACTTGAACCAGGCTCTTGGATTTCCTCTTCCATTACAGGTAGTCAGTGTCATAAAACTAGCTAACTTTCCCATCCACCTCTAAATCACCTGACCTAAACAACACAGTTGGACCTGACAGATCTCATAGCAGCCACACTGGACCTCTCTCTCCCTCTGTTCTAACCACCCTTACCAGTGCTGACTTGACTCCCTGCCTGTCTCCTGTCCAGGACTAAACCACCAAGCCTCAGTAATTACAAGTTTATATTCCCCAGAGATTGGCTTCCTTTCCACTTCCTGCTCCTGCCATGCATGCACCTCAGGCCACAGTATCTGGTATTGTTTCTACAGCAAGACCCAAAGTTGTAAGAAGACTAATCTCATTTTTAAGATCTCTAGAAAATGCAAGCATGTGAAAGAGAAGAGAAATTGTTCCTAAAGCAATTCAATTTATTTAAGTTCGACTGCTTAAACTTAAAAGTAAAATGTTCTATTGAGAGTACTAATGAAGCTAACAAGTCTTCCATTCTCTTTGCAAACTTCAGCATTTTCTCAGTACTTATCTATCATAAATTACTTCAAAACCATGATCAGGCAAGATGGGGTATGGCAGGCACCGTGCCTCGGACTGAACAGAGGCTAGCACTTACGTTTCAGAGCAATAATGACAGAAGCCAAGGGCCAGGACAAGTCTTGGGGGTGGGTGACCAGGTAAAAGGCCTGAAGGCTGTAGGTGAATGGGACCCACACTAAGTCCCCAAAGGCCAACATGAAGCCAAAGCCATCGTGGATGATGTCCATGGTGGTCAGCAACGCTTCCTAAAATGGGAAGAAATAAAAACCACATTATTTTTACAGGATTTAAGCAAATTGCTAATTTATGACCAAGTATGTTAAATGAAGGCACACCAAAATGTTGAAAGGCTCTGGCCTAAGTCACCATGTCCCACCTCCCCTGCCTCCTCCTCACCCTTAACTCCTGCAGTAACAGACCTCTAAACCTCACACAGGCTTTTGCCCTTGCCAGGGCCTCCCTGATCTCACCTTCTGGAAGCCTCAGGCCCTTCCCTGGGCAGCCTTCCTGACCCTGCACCTGGCCAGTCACGCTCAGATGCCAGCATTCTACATTCCAGAAAGCCACTGGTCACTCTACTTGTCCACTTATGCTCTCCACCACACTGTAAACCTCTCTTTTGTCAAGTGTACATGCCACAGAGCCTAGCAAGAAGTAATGGGTTCACAGTGTATTTGTAGAAAAACAGTACAACTATCAACCAAATCTGGATCATCTGAACTCCCGATGCACGGTCCACAGCAGCAGCAAGCTGGCTGGCAACATGGTAAACCAATGGTGTCACACTCATGTGCACTGAGAGCTTGTCAGCAGGAGCACATGGTCCACCAGATGTCTCTAGACCAAGATGCCTGAAGGCCAAATTCACAAGCACATCTCTTGAGTGCCTGAAATTCTGGTACCTGCCCCAGGAGTAGTAGCTCAGCTAGCTATCAAAGTGCTATGAAAAAACTAGTTCTGGGTTAAAGAAAGTGGTACCTCCAGGGGCATTCACCCCAGATCACCATAGAATAAAGTCAGAGGTCACAAATCTAGGCCCTATGGCTCACACCCTGGATCTCAGAAGGATGTTTCTGCATAGCATCTCTGGGGGCATGTGCTCTGATATGAGGATCCAAGGCAAGATAAAGGTGACTGAGGAGCACAGTGAATAGGGCAAATAAGAACAATACTGTGACCAAAGTAGGAATGAAGGGGAGTTATCACTGAGATGAACAGTGTCATGAAGCCTGGGACCATTTAAGATCCTAAGCCCTGCTCAGGCTCTAAGGGCCTCAGGTTACAGGACAGGCTCTCCAAAGCTACATGGTGTTCTCAGTTTCCTAGAGTGGCTGATTTACAAGCAGCTGCCAGGAGCTGAGGAAATTATACAGTAAAGGCACTTCTTTATAACCTAGCTGAGACACTGAGGACAGACAGACCCTCCTCAACTCCAAGCCTCCTGTTGATATTGCCTTAAGCAGCTGGGGAGAACGCTAAGTGCATGCTATGTATGCATGAAGGTCCAAGTTCAATCCCCAGAATCGACACTTTAAAAAAATAAGGTGGTGTGCACTTGTAACCCCAGCACAGGGCAGTCCTGGAGCCTGATGCTCAGTCCGGCCAATGAAATACCTCATTTTAAAAAAAAAGTCCAAAGAGTGACACTAAGGTTGTCCTCTGGTTCTCACATGTATATGTAACACATAACCCATGCAGCAGTATCTATGTGCATATGCACATACACACAAGAGTTTTTCTTTGAGATGCTAACAGGAGTCACTTCTAAACAGAGCTGTTGGCACACCTACCAATGTTCATGTACAGACCCCTTGAGCCACAACATCATGACCAACACAAGCTAGAGACAGCTATATCTGCCTCACTCTGGATGTAAGCAGCTCAAACTTCACAAAGGAAAACCACCACTCAAAGCTGCTTGACTTCATGGCCTCTAAGAATTCAGCTCTTAAAACCACTCCGTGCAGGCAGAGGTGTACTCCTGTAACCCCAACTTGAGAGGCTGACACAGAAGATTACAAGTTCAAGCCAGCAAGGACTACTAGGACATCAAAAGAAAATTTAAAAAAAAAAAAATTACCTCATTCCAGAGGGCATCCATCACATACAAGAACTGGAAACTGTTAACCAAGACCATTGCCAAAGACGGGGTACCACGTTCCTGTACTTTCATTTCAGCCAAAAGCATCACCAAGTTAACAACCACCTGGAAAAAGAAGAAGTCGTCTCAAAGGCTTTCCTAGGGACAAGCACAGCTGAGAAGCCCAGTGTACACCACCCCATGGCTACCAGTAAACAAGACATCTCAACCCTGACTCGTGTCACTCCTGTACTACTCTTGCTGACACATGTAGCCTCACTCTCATGATGAGAACACAGTGGAATGACCCAAATTAAAGGATGGTCATAATGACTGATCAGATCAGGTTGGGTAGTGGTGGCACACACCTTTAATCCCAGCACTCAGGAGGGAGAGGCAGGTAGATCTGAGTTCGAGTGCAGTGTGGTTTACAGAGTGAGTTCCAGGCAGCTAGGGCTAAATGGAGAAACCCTGTCTCAGAAAAAAACAATGAAAAGAGTAACTGATCAGTACCTTCACAACAGTGAGGCAGCCATGAGAGACTAAGCAACCAGCACAGACTAGAGGAGACGAGGGGACCAAGAAAACAGAAAGGAGCAGTCATAAACCAATAATGGAACCAGTAAGGGCTATGATGTCCAAACACTGTCCTGGATGGGCCAGGCACTAATGCAGGGGCCCAGCTAAAGAACACAGGGATTCTTGGCTCTTCTGCTGCAATTCTCCAAGTCTACCACTGGGTCAAAATAAGGCCTTCATGAAAAGGGAAGAGAAACCGTCATTTGTACATGATTCCATCTACACTATCACTTTCCTAGACATATGTAATAAAAATAAAAAATTCTGTGATGCTTAATAATCCATAACAAGGTTTCTTAAACCTGTAAAACATATATATATATAGTAAAAGAATATTTTGTGTTAAGATGAAATTTTGGAAAACTAATTATTTTTTACATTTTCCCAAATTAACTTCTAGATACAAACTAAAGTTATACTACTGGAACAAACAAACAAACAAAAATAAAAGACATACCCATCCGATCAATCCAGGGCGCAGTTCACAAAAGTATTTGAGGTCAAAAGCACCAATTCGAGGGTTTAATTCACGGCCAATGAAGAAATCGTAGATAGCATTTCCTGAAAGGGAAAAGTGTTTAGCCAATCATAAGTCTTTAAATCCAACTGCTCCCCTTCACCAGGTCCAAAGTGCTTCCTGAAGAGACTTCGGAGGAAGAAAATGCAAAAGGCAAGACTAGGGAGACCCCTCTGAGGGGTCGTGTTACCAGATTCCCCCAACTCTAAGAAACTGGAAGGTGGTTTTGTTTCTTTTTGGTTTGTCAAGACAGGGTCTCTCTCTCTGAAACAGAGCCCTGGCTGTCGTGGAACTCACAAGAGATCTGCCTGCCTCTGTCTCCCAAGCGCTAGGATCAAAGGTGTGCGCCGACACCACCTGACTCTAGTTGTAATTTTTTTCTAATATTTTATTTTTTTAAATAGGAAAACATTTTTTGTTTTTTGGGGTTTTTTTGTTTGTTTTGTTTTTTGAGATAAGGTCTCACTATGTAGCCCTGGCTGGCCTGGAACTCTTTACTTAGATCAGGCTAGCCTCAAACTTACAGAAATTCTCCTGCCTCTGCCAACCAAGTGCCCAGACTAAAGGTATATACTACCACATCTAGTCCATGGGAAACTTAAAAAAAAAATCTTAGGTCAAAACCAAGCAACTTTCACCCTGGTTCTTTTTTTTTTTTTTTTTGCTTTTTTAAGGGATTTACTACTTGACAAAGATGATGAATGGATGGATGATAGGATAAATAAAAAAATGTGCTGCTCCTCTGAGAACTAAAAATTAATGAGAACTAAATTGAAAAGTGGGAGAAAAATACACTTAAATTTTGCCTTCAATTTTTTTTCACGTTTTATTTCTTATGCCTTTTCATTTCCCATAATTAAAGTAGGAATAACAACAACAATCTATTCAAGGATAGCCATAGCTGCCAAGGCTCTAGACATACCCATGCAACACATGATAAAATTGCTCACCAGAACTGGCAGGTGACAGCTCATCCCGAGGGGCCTTCAAAGAGCGAGCATAGAGGTAAACACTCAAGATCACCGAAAACACAGTGGCTGCAAGTGCGAACTGAAGGAAGTGAGTATACATGTAACACAGCTCTATGCCCCAGAAGAGAGAGATTCCCACGATGGCAGATGTCAGGACAAAAGCGTAGAATCCTTAAAAAGAGACAGAAGTTAATTAACATCATCCTGGGGCTGAAAACAAAATAAAAAGTCACACTAGGTTGCCCAGACCTAGCCTTGAATTCCTAGTCTCAAAACACACACACACCCAGATTATAGTCAGAAATATGCAAATATGCAACGTCCTTAAAGTGCAATCTTCAATGTAAATACTACAGCTCTTATCTTTTGTACTATGAACCATCATTACCTACTGTTAAAGTGAACAACTAAGAGAAAGGGTATAGAAATTACTATTAAACTGAAAAGAATCTGAAAATGCAGTACACCAAACCATCAGAGTCCAAAGTCAATTAACCAGCTCCCAACAGAGACTGGCAAGCACACAATTTCAAGTCTAATGCCACTACCTAATAGAAGAATGATCTTAGTAGGTATAAAATTATTAATATTTATGTTGGCATTTACTAGTCGGTAATGGTATAGAGATCTGAGTCATATTCTGCTTCAACCAAAACTCTGAGAAAACCAAATGTGGTCACTCATATTTGTAATCCCAGCACCTGGACAGATTAGGCTGCACTCTCATGCACAGACAGAGTAAAACCCCCAGGAGGATCCACAAGCTAGTCCACTGGAGCTGGCCGACAATGCGTGCGTGTGTGGTATGAGTGTGGAGTGTGTGGTAGTGGTAAAAGCAGTTTTGCCTTTTAAAGAAATCATTTTTCTTGCAAAAGCCAAAGTGCCGAGGTGTGTTCCAGATGAAGTCATCAAATTATATTATTAAAATTCAAACACAGAAAAGTCATGGTCACTAATGAGAGGATTTCTAAGCTTTAGTAAATTAAGAAGGTCATCACAAATTTGCTATCTAACCTCATGTTTTCTACATACCAAGTTTACTCCAAGGAATAGCTTAATCCTCATAAAATTTATGAAGTAGTCAACATAGTTGTTTTTTCAATCTATAGTCTATGCAAAATAATTACTCAAAATTTCTTAGGAATGTTCTTAGTGGTAAAATCCCATAAAAAGAAATCAAATAATAAACAGAGGAGGGAAGTTCTTAGGAAAGATCAAGTGCCCAGGTTCAGTGCTTGGCTTCTCAACAGACCACACCCTCAATGGAGACAAAACATGGCTAAGAAAATCCAAAACACCAAGAGCAAAAGACCTGAGAGCAAATTTAAACAACCCACTTCTGCCCAGACTCAGATAACAAGAGACAGGGCATGTCAAAGATCCTGAGACAGGTTCCACCAGCAAGGAACTAAGCAAAAACAAAAACCTGGCCAGCACCAGCAAACACAATCTAAGGTCTGGCAGAGCTGGCTAGGATGGCTTGCAACTTGACACTTAAAGGCAGTAAGCCCTGAAAACACTTCTGCTTCCCTTCTAGAATCCTGTAGAATGAATTCAGGTAAAAGCGCTAGTAAGCCAGTAAACAAATACCACCCAAAATTACAAAAGAAGGAAGCCAAACATTAAAATATAACTTAGGAAGTCTTCACTGTAGCATGCACAAAAAAAAAAAAAAAAAAAAAAAAAAAAAAGACACATTCAGGGCCACTCTCAAGTTTGGATCCAGACATACAATGTCCTCTCCTGGTGCTGGGCAGTGCAGTGAAGTGCATGGTCAGAAAGGTGACCAAGCAGATGCTCTACTGTGGGCTGTGCTGCTAGGCTGGGACACTAGCAAGCCAGCTACAGAAAGTACATCTGCAACTTAAGGTATTGCCAAGATAAAATGGGCTAAGCAGATCTAAACCAAGGAGCATTTGTCATAAAATTCTTAAAGAAAACGAAATCACTCTACCCGATCTAATAAAATGGAAAATCATTTAAGAATAACTACCACACAGATTTCTTAAAATCACATTAGTGGCACTTTATCAAAGTCTTCAGAGGGTAAAGTTGTACTGAGCCCCTAGCACATGTGCTGTGACCATGGAGATGCCTAGATCAAAGGGTCAACATCTGTCTGCTAGGCAAACTCCAAGTGGTTCCTTTCCCACTCAAAATGAATGCAGCAGTAAGTGCCTACATCTTCCTAACATCAAGTGTATAGTAAATACGACCCAGCCTACAACTACATACTACCAGGAAAAATCCAGTGAACAGAAAAGACACTGATGTGGGAAGGCATTACTGTCAGCCCCAATACTTTCTTCTTGCCTCTTCAGTTAACAGTGAATTTCTACACCCTTCCTTACATCTTCCTCTTAAGATACAGTAACAATTACAGCTTTGTGGTGTAAAAAGTCTTGGCTGTGCTGAAACTCACTTGGTAGACCAGGCTGGCTTTGGACTCTGCCTCCCCAGTGCTGGGCTTAAAGGCGTGCGCCACCACTACCGGCAGATGTTAAATGCTATTAAAAAATATAAAACAGTGCTATTAAGAAAATTAAAGGCAGTGGTGGCACACACCTTTAATCCCAGCACTTGATAGGCAGATGGATCTCTGTGAGTTCAAGGTCAGATAGTCTACAAAAGCAAGGTCCAGGATAGGCAGAGCTAACCAGTGAAACCCTGTCAAAGAAAGAAAGAGAGAAAGAAAAGAAAAACTAAGAAAACATGCTGCAGAGATCACTCTGGTTAAAAGTATACACTGCTCTGAGGACCCAGGTCCCAGCACTACATAGTAAGTAGCTGACAACTACCTGTAACTCCAGTTCGGAAGTCCAACACGTCTAACCTCCTACAACTCCCATACGTGGTGCATGTTAGGAGGTGTAGCCTTGTTGGAGGAAGTGTGTCACTGTAAGGGTGGCCTTTGAGATATCATGCTCACAATACGCCCAATGTGGGACACAGCTCACTTCCTGTAGAACTCTCAGCTAACTTCCAGCACCCCGTCTGCCTTCCTGCTGCCTCGATTCCCACGTGATGATAATGAACAAAACCTCCAAAACTACAAGCCTGTCCCAATTAAATGGTTTTTTTTATAGAGTTGCCGTGAAAAGCAGGTGGATCTCTGTGAGTTCGAGGCCAGCCTGGTCTACAAAGCCACACAGAGAAACCCTGTCTCTGGGGAGCGGGAGTTGTCTTGGTCATGGTGTCTCTTCACAGCAATAGAAACTGACTGATCAAACAGCACATATACACTCAGGCCCTCACACGTTCGAGTGCATGCAAAAATAAATATTTAATTAAAAAAATTAAAAAAAAAAGGAGGGCAATGGCTGCTCTTTTCAACCTAGGAAACCACACTAGTTTCCCAGCACCCACATGACTGTTCAAAATGGTCAGTTAACTCCAGTTTCAGGGGATCCGATACCCTCTTCTGACTCCAGTGGGCACCAGGCACAAATGTGTACCCACACAGGCAGGCAAACATTCACACACATAAATAAAAGTAATCTTAAAAACGAAATGAAACTAAGTAGGCTAGCGGCACACAACTGTAATGCCAGTATTTGGGAAGCTAATGCACAGTGGCTAGCCTGTACTACAAAGTGAATTCTAGGCCCCAACTCAAAGTAGTAGGGAAAGAGAGCTAGAAACTAGGAGTAACTATTTGTTCACACAGCATTTTCATATTAGCTACTGGAATGAGTTAACTTATCTACAAGTTCTTCAAACTACTACAAAATAATCTGCTTTTCAACATCCCAGTGAATCAACACAAACAGTTTAAAGACTATAAAAGTTATATCATTGAGTATTTAAGGGAATCACCATTTAGTCTGTACTTGAGTCTTCTTCCATCAACAAGAGTGGTTCCTTCTACAACCTTAAAAGAAAAAATATTAAATTTTAATTTAAAAATCAAAGCACATTATCACTTTTTCTTACATATTATACATATATAAGTATATGATCTCCTCAAACTCTTGAATTTCATTATACCCAAGAAAGTGTCTCACAGTAGGAAATAGGTTTATCATAGGTTGCCCTATGATAAAGCAACCCCACCGTCAGGCATTTAAGTATATGTAGCTAGTAATTTCTCAGTGTGAAGGACTACTGCCATAACCACCCTTACTAAACCATCCCATGCACAGTACAAGATTCAGTGTGCTCAAAACTCTCCCCTGGCTTCTCATCACTGACAAAACAGTCTCATACTTGTGAGGTTCTCTTAACTCTACAACTCAGTGGATATCCATAGTTAAGAATCATTCAGAAGGGAAGCTGTGGAGCTTCGTGTTAAACTTTATACACTTTCAGTGTGGAATGTAGCTACGTACTACATTCCTCAAAACCATAAAATCCATGCCAGGATTAGAACCAGAAAACAATTAGCTTTATATCTGCTTTCATAACTGTGTCCATCGCCTGCATTTGGTCTTTCCTCTTATATTTAGCCTTTATGTAAAAAGGGGAGGGGTGCAGGAAAATGATGGGCTTAGAATGTATGAAGTCACACAAACCTCAAAGAGAAAAAGAAATGTGCATGCTCTCTCTCATACAGGGACTCTAGCCAGTAATAAGTATGTATATGTAAACAACAGGTTAACACGAAGAGGAAAGATTCTTTTCAATCGGGCAGTGTGCTGCCAACACCGTGTATACACTGACTTATCCCACTGTTTACACATGATCCTCTACTATGCTGAGTGGTCCTCTCCAGCAAAGGACTGTGAGCATTCTTCCCAAGCAGGAACCACCATGGCAAATCCACTGCACATGGCACAGTGATGCCCCATGGGGTGAGAAGGCTGCTTGAGTAAACAGGCAGCCACAAGTAGCTACTCAAATATGAGCTGTTCACTTTAAATTGTCCAACACTAAGAACAGTATCATCTGCCAGCACTGTTCATTTGCTGTGGAAGTGGAACCCAGGATAGAAATGTAAAACCTGAGAACATAGGACTGGCAAAACTGCAAGCGAGCCTTCTCAACTGTAGGTGTCTTGTTGGGCCTTAATCTGATGATACAGATAGAGGATTTCTCAACCTTGACTGTATCTGACACTCACTCATTATCTATCTACCCACCTACCTACCTACCTACCTACCTACCTACTTACCATCCATCCATCCATCTACTTTGGTCTGTGTGTATGCAAGATTTTTAGCCTCCGAAGCTAATTTTCCAAATATTATCTAGCTTAGATAAGCCTCACAATAAATTAATCTGAATCTGAATGGACGGAGCACTGCAGTAAGAATGACTGTGGTCCATTACCACAAAAGCCCTGAACAGCCAATTCCAGTGAGATTCCACAGCTCCAAGTCTGCAGCTCCACCCTCCTAACAGAACTTCCAGCTGGCAAAGCTGCAATCTCCTAAGAGTAAGGTCTAAATAAATTATGTAGTGTTCAGGGCAGCTCATGTTCTTTGAACACATCTCTAAGGAAAAGCTCACAACTGAAAGACGAATATTCAGCAACAAGAGGGAGGGTAAGATAGTACATGAGTCTGAAAAGGATTCCATATTCTTGATAGATTTCTAAGGATCAAAACTGAAAACAAACTGTATTTTGTTTGGTTTTTTTTTTTTTTTTTTACTCCACCATGGAGCTCAAAAGACAATGATGTACCTGAAGTGAACACACTGAGGTGTTCTGCCCGGCTGCCTCTACCATGAACCAGGCTGCTATCAAATAGCTTACTCTCCCCTGTTTGGATTGGAGCACATGATAGAAATACTGAATGTCAACCTGACAATATCAAAAATCACCTCAGAGCAAACTTCTGGGCACAGTCATGAGGAAGCTTCTAGACTGCGTTCCCAGACTGAAGAAAGGAAAGGAGCTGGAACAACAGCTCAGCAACTGAGAACACAGGCTGCTCTTGCAGAGGACCCAGGCAATGAATGGTTCCAAGCACTCACATGGTAGCCCACAACCAACTGACTCCAGTCCTAGAGGATCTGACGCCAGCTTTAGGCCTCTGAGAGTATTCGCACACATGGTGCACATATATACATGCAGGCAAAAATCCCACACACAAAGTGATAACTTTAAAAAAAAAAAAAGAAAGAAAGAAAAAGGAAAGAAAGCTGAGCACTGTTATTCATTCTCTCTCTGCTTCAAGACTATGGACGCAATGACCAGCCACCTCACTCTCTTGCCACCGTCATTTCTCTATTATGGATGTTACCCTCAAAACACAATCCAAAGTAAACCCTGTTCTTTTCTTCTGTCAGCTATTTTATTGAAAATGCAAGCAAAGCAAACACAGGAAATTAAACAAGATATCTAAATCATATTTTTAAAGTTATGCTTAATAAGTGAAGAGTTATAGTATATGACTGACAGCTTCTAACTTTGAAACTGCTATAAATGTAACTAATAACAAAGAAGTCAGACAATTTTCACAATACCATACCTCTTCAGCAAAACCTTACCTTCAACCAGAATGGCACACATCTTTCATCCCAGCACTGGGGAGTCAGAGGCAAACAGATCTCTGTGAGTTCAAGGCCAGCCTGGTCTACCTGGTGAGTTCCAGATTGGCCAAGATTACACAGCAAGGACCATATCTCAACAACAACAAAAAATTACAAACTTCCAAAACCTTACCTTCCCAATTGGCAGAAGGTGAAAGAGAGCTTGAACGAAAAACCAGAGGAGGTAGATGCCACACACTCTGGGTTCCCACAGTTCACCCAAAGCTGGCAGAGGAGGAGGGAGGCTCAGCAGGCTGGGGTCCTTCTGCCTGCACTGCAGTAGCAGCAGGAAGAGGCAGGCAGGCAGGCCGATCATGATGAGGGACGCACCTGCAAACAACCAGTTCAGTCAAACAAACTCCAGTCAATCTGTTTAGTTTTTAAGCCATGTGGGTTCTTTATTTTTATATTTAGGGCAACACTAGGTCTGCTAGCTGTTTGAAACTAATCTATAAGGTATCATCAACACCTCATTCATCTAGGAGCTAGAGAGAGAACTCAGTAGTTAAAAGCACTTGCTCTCAGAGGACCTGAATTCTGTTTCCAACACCCACAGTGGCTCACAAACATCTGTGACTCGATGTTCTCTTGTGACCTCCCTGGGCACCAGGTACACGTGTGGTGCACATAACAAACATGTAGGCAAACATTCATGCATATAAAATGAAATAAATAAATCTTAAAAAACAGAAACAAAAACTCTCCCTATCTCATTCTGAGGAAATGGTTTGGCAGCTAAGGGCATTCGACACAAAAGCCTGACAATGGGAGTTCAAACCCCAGGATTTACATGTGGAAGGGGAGGACTAACCCTGACTTCTACCTGAACACTACAGCGTTAGCTCATCCCTACCCCCCTTCCCTCCCTCCCACACCACACAAAATAGTAATAAAATGTAGTAACTTTATAAACTGTCTCTACCTGCCACCTCCATGGACATACAACATGAAAACATGAATTCACCTCAGAGATCCGACTCTGAGACTTTCAACTCTAGCCTCTCAGAGAGCAAGTGCTCAGAACCGGAAACCAAACAATGGTTGGTCTACTCTTTGTGAAGAGAGGAAATAGAATCGTGTTACATAGCCTACACTGGCCTTGAACTTACTGTGTAGCTCAAACTAGCCTTCAACTCTACAGACCCTCTTTCCCCGGCCTCTCAGTACTGGGATACAGGCACCAGCCACTACACTCCCACCTGAAAAAAGAGCGACCACTGTAATCTTACTAGACTATAAATTCCTGACATTTTAACACACTGTCACCCTCATACACATGTAGATTTTGGGTGACGCTGGACACCACCTGTGACAGACCAACTAGCAGAGCAGTAAGCTATGCAGACTGTGGGCTGTTTGGTTGAGGTCCTGAGCTTGCTTTCTCTCACCAGCTACACATGCTCATTACCCCACAGGCTGGCTCTGCACACTGCACTCCTTGAGCAGTTCATTCGCCCTGTCCAGCAGGCGGGGGGGGGGGGTTTGGGGGGATGGGGACGGGGACAGCAGCAGGATGCTTCCTTCATCTGCAGCTTGCTCCTGCTATGAATGCAAGCCAGGCCCTGCCACCTGCCCCCATCCCTATCAGAGCTCTGGGTCACTACAGGACCACCTTCCGGCACCTTCCCCAGGGCAAATTCGCTTCACTGCTCCTTTACAATTCCATCCTCAAGACCTAATCGACAGTCAGGTCAGCATCCTTTCTACTCTGCTGCCAAAGCTCCCAGCTCAGGCCTTCATTCCCTGTTCCTTCCCTGGAAAGTCCCCCATCCTCTCCCTGCTGCAGAGACCTTCCCTGTGCACGTGAGAGCAACTCCGCGCCCTTTCTCCTCCCTGATGGGGGTTAACACCTACCAGGTACTCCTCCAAACTCTAACTCCTTCCTCTGTGGTGTGGTCACTTGAAAGGGTTCCAAAGCTGCAGGGACTTTGGGAGCAAGCTTTTGTTCCTTGGACTCTATTTCTCTGACTTTGACCTCTTCTCTTCTTGGACGAAGGCTGTACTGTGTAGCTATGTAACTGCTTTCTGGTGACAAAATGACTCTTTCCTGGTTTGAAGAAAAAAGTATTAACTGAGGTTACAACTAATGCAAATGCCAACTGAGCATCTCTACACAGCTGTGAACGTACAAGAATAAATTTGTTAAATCACAAGCAGCCTAAAGGACAGAGCATGAACCAATACAACAACTCCAGAGTGAGTGTGAAAGGAAAAGAAAGAAATGGGAGAGATGAAAGAACACGCTGCTACCTGCTTGTTTTTATGAGATATGTCATTCTTCTCCATGTGTTCTGGCTCCCCATTGATTACATTGATGCTGTTTCCAAATGGTTTCTAAATGGGATATGAAAGCATCATAATCAGAACTGTTATTGACTAAAAGTATCTCAACAACAAGTTACTACTGGAAATGAAGCACAGACAAGGTAAAAGCCAAGAGACGAACTCAACTACACTTCCCTGGTTTTCCAAGGTCCACTCTTACACTGTAGACTGTTCTAGTCTTTAGGTAAGGACCAGCAGAATGTAACCAGCCAACCTTTTAGCCTCAAACTTGTGGCAATCCTCCAGCCTCACCCTCCTGCCTGAGTACTGGGATGACAGTTGTGCAACACCATGCCAGGTTTTGGAACAAGCTTTTCCATCTTTCAAACACTCTCATACTAAATGTTTCAAATATTTCACTGTCACAGTTCTATGAAAGATGGATAAGTCAAAACTGGCAAATTCAGTCATAAGCTAGAAAAAAAAAAAATGAAGCAAAAACATTTAGTGGCCCTAAGACAGTCAGCAACGGGTACTGGAATTTCACGCTACCTGATATTTACACTTTTTCCTTCCTACATTTCCTTCTTGACTCAGCCAGAGTTTCTTACCAAAAAAAAAAAAAAAAGGAGTGTTTTAGCTTGCAAGAGTTGTTAAGACAATGGTTGCAACATTCTCTTCATTTCTCTGTACACTGTTAACAAACTAAAACATACTGAGCCAAGAAGAAAACAGGAGACAACTTTGGCAAACCTCTCTCTAAAAATATTTACACAATGATTCATAACAGTAGCAAAATTACAGTTATGAAGTAGAAGCAAAATAATTTTATGGTTGGGGGGGGTCACAACATGAGGAACTGTGTTAAAGAGTCACAGCACTAGGAAGGTTGAGAACCACTGCTCTAAAATATTCCCAAGTGTGGTAGCTCACCCTATGATCTCAGCACTGAGCAAACTGAGGAAGGATTGTATCAAGTTCACCGCCAGCCTGGGCTACCCTGTCTTGGAGAAAAATAGAAAACAGAAGCAAAACCCCTCACTGTGCTAGGTCTCCAGGGGATACACATGCACCATGAAAGTCAGCAAAAAAGCAAAAGTTATCCAGAATAAGGGTGCCAATTAGGAGAGCAGAACCTCTCCATAACATAGTTGTCTTATCATTTTGTGGCCTACAAGCTAAGTCTGTGTCAATGGAAACATCTTTTAAAGACCATTTACAAACAGTACTCCTATTAATGTAGCTGCAATGCCTGCCTTTATACCCAATGATCTGAGTTTGATCCTATAACTCACATAAGGGTGGATGGAGAGAACTGACTACACAAAGTTGTCCTCTAGCTTCTACGTGTGTGCCCATACACACACTACATATATAAACACATACACACTGAAAATAAAAAGTTAAAATATAAAAACTTTTCTTAAGTATTCAAAAGAATTATATTTCTTTCTCAAACATTGGCTATTCCCTTGGATTTGTTATCTCAATACAAAAGTATGAATAATCTGAATAAGCATTATATAAAGGAGAAGCCAGTGCAGTTATAGATGAAACAAGTACCAATACAAGCGGAGTCAATTTAACTTGCAAGATTTCCCTCCGTGCTCCCTTTTCCTTAATGTCAGCCTGGTGGGAAGCAGAGGCAGATCTTCTGGAACCTTTTGGTGCCCTGCCAGGGGATCGGGAACGTGACCTTGAGCGGCTGCTGCGGCGTCTTGAAGGAGAGCTGGAAGTTGAGCCACCTTTTCTTTGCTTAAAGGATTTTAAAGGCTAGAAAGGGAGAAGCAACAGCTATTTTCAGAACACTAACACACAGTGGCAGAGCTAAGGCAGAAGAGGTCAGTAAGGACCACTATCTGCTGCCATCCATCCCAAACATAAAGGGGCTCACAGGGTCTGGGAACTGATCACATAGGACCAGAGGGAAACACTACAATGACTCCAGCTCCTAGGAAAGATAAACAGTGCTCCCCCCCCCCCCCCCCGTCCGCTAGCTTGGAGATATTTCCCTGGAATCAGTGTCTATCCCACTAGTTATATATACTCCCAGTAACACAGGAAAGACTCATAACTGATAATGACTAAAACTGACATAGTGAGACATAATTAGCAAACAACTGTGTAGAGAGATATCCACCCCGCCCACACCTGTTGCACTGACCACACCCATGGGGCTTGGGGAAAGGTTCCCATGTGACCAGTGGGGGCTAGGTCTGGGGTCCCAGACCCCAGCTCACTCTCTTACTTCCTGGTGGGAGACAGAGAGCATCCAGGGTCATCCTTGGAGTGGGAACCTGTAGCAGTCATCTGTTTCTGGTATAAGTGATTTATCCCCGAATAAACGTCAGCTTACATTGTGTCCCAGAATCTTACTTCCCACGCAATACAACAGACTTTTCAGAAAGCAAACAGCCTTATGGAGTCACTCCAAAACCCAGCTGCACACTGCTCTGATCCACTACACCCACTCCTTCCTTGTTTCTAAGGACATAGGTCTGAGCAAGGCAAGCCCTGGCCCATTCAGATGTGGCCCTCAGCAAAGGATGGCATTTATATATCTTAATGAGAGCTAACAGCATCAAAAGAGAAGTCACATGCCATACCATACCGCCTGGAGCTGCCCTGCCCCTAAGCTACAGAAACCCTATGAGCCTCAAAGCCAAAAACATTTTCTAGAACACATGTAGTGTGATGCACTAATAGTCAATAACTATTAGTTATTGACAGGTCACAAGGTTCAAAACTGCAAAGTTCTTTTTTTTGAGACAGGGTATTTTGTGTAGCCTTAGCTGTCCTGGAACTCACTCGTTAGACCAGGCTGGCCTTGAACTCACAGAGATCCACCTGCCTCTGCCTCTTGAATACTAAGATTAAAAGAGTGCACCAGCACCACCCAGATCCAAAATTGCAAAGTTCTCAGTAGACAGAGCATTTTGACTAAGTAATTTCACGCCTGTAGAATACAACTAAAACTCTGCAGCTTTAAAATATTTTTCTACAAATTAATTTTTATGCATTTTATGTAAGTATTTGTATGCCATGGGTCATTATCTTATAATGCAGGCCCTCGACATATGATAGCTGGGAAGGGGATGCTGTAAGCTGGCATCAGACCTAGAAAATGTCACCCTGATTAAATCACCAGTGTTGTGGAAGAAAGTCAAGCCCTGCCAAGAGACAGTGGTACACACTTTAAACTCAGCACTCAGGAGGCAGAGGCAGTCAGTGTTCTCAGTTCAGGGCCAGCCTGGTCTACAAAGCAAGTTCTAAGACAGCCAAGGCTATATACTGAGATCCTGCTATCTTGAAAAACAAAACAAAACAAAAAACCAGAAAAGTAACTCAAGCCCTGTACATGGCTATTTAAAAAAAAAAAAACCCCTCAGACTGCTTTCCGGGGACCTCTCCACTGTCCCCAGCCACCCACCTTTCTGGTACTTAATTGTGTCTGCATCATCCACAGGCCCTTGGTATGCACTGCCCTCCTACACCTGTTTTCCCGTTTGTCTTAGAGCTCAACTCAAGATAACAATGCTTTAAAAAAAAAAAAAAAAAAAAAAGAAACCCTAAACCATGCAGGATCTATCCTGCACTCTGTCAAACAGCACTCACAGGAAACACCTCCCAGGAGGGATCAGACCCAAGGGTATGAGCTTCTTGGACTCTGCACCCATACCTCATTCACATTCCCTGAGCCAAGAACAGCATGAGCCCCAAAGCTCCAAAGCCCGGAGGTTGACATGTGCTGTAGCCCCTCCATCCTAGTGCAAGCCTAAGGCGCACTCACCTTGACATCGCTCTCCTTCAACTCCAGTTCAGTCCCGTCCTTGTATTTCACAGTGTATAGCTGGGACTTGCTGTCATAGCTGAGAATTTCTACTTCATAATACAGGGAGCTCCCAGGCCATCGACCTCTCACGACCTCACCCTCGGCAAACTTCCTACTTGGCATTTTCTAAAATTAGTCTGGAAAATTTTAAAGAAAAAAATCCAGTCAATATTCCCTACTTATTTTTTGAGAATAGGATGATTCCTTAAACATAACTTTATCTGTTAACTGGTCAAGATTTTTAAGGTCAGGAAGCCTCCAAGGAAGGTGTGCATAGCTCCTTATATTACAGAAGCAAAACTTAAGCTTAAAGTTAATATTTTGTCAAAGTTCACAAACTTAGGTGAGGGAATAGCAGGACAACACAAATTATTCTTTGAGTCATTTAACTTCATTTGGAATCACTCTGTAGGCGATAATAGCCCCTGGAGTACCTGAAGTGGTTCTGAGAATTAACTTTAACAACATTACAGGCATCAAATCCAAATTACTCACGATGACACTCACCTGCAGTAGTAACCAAAACTCCAGGCACATCTCAAAAAGGACAAGTGTTTATTAGTAAATCTTTATGTCATCTTTAAAAATGCATTAAAATGCATTTAATTATATTTTTAACAAGCTACCTTACAGAAAAATAATAAACTGTGAGGCAAACCAAGAAAATTTAAAATGTACAGTTAGCATTACCATAACCTACCAACAGAAAGGACTTCAAATCCATAATGAATAACATATTTGAGGTTTACTTCAGAAAGTCTGCATTCAAATCCCAAGTGCATACCAAGTAACTCTGCCAACCACCCACCCAGGCCAACATGTACCTGGCCTTCACCCAAGTTCGATTCATAAGCCTACAGCTAACACCTACTCCAGTGGTAACACCCTTTGCCACTGTTTCAAAATACTGCCCATGAAACCTTATATATACCTCAAAAATCTATAATCTTCAAGAGGTGTCATTTCCATGAGGCAGTTTGGCACCCCTTTAGGAATATCAAACAGTGACCGTACTCCTGCCTCTAGGGTGGGTGTTTCTCTCCTCTGACCAGCAGATTCACAGAGTCACAGGATAAAACCAGTCAGTGCCTCTGGCCAGTGCCCTTGATAACAAATGATGGAGCAAGCAGCAAACAGAAGACAGATTCAGCTACAGATGTCACCTGCTAAGCAATTCTCCTCCATGTATCACCCAAGCACATAAAAGACACTCCTGCCAAGCCCTGGTTGTGCAACCCAAAGCAACACATATGGAAATAAGGAGAAAGTTGCATTACCTACCACTCCCAAGAAAGTCTTTCTGAATACATTTCTTCACTGTTAATCACCTGAGAAAAAAACTTCACAGGCTTCATTTGTTTAGACAGACAACAGATGAAAGTAAACATGATTGCTTATGTGGTGATTAGAGGCACATTACAGAGACTGCCTCAGTCTCCCTAACATATACGATAGCATCTCTGGGGTAATGAATATGTTTGGACTTGGAAAGGGAAAGAGCCCAGAAGCTTTGGGAATGAAACTGGACTGGGAAAAGATTACCTGAGGGGCCCTTGAGAAGCAGGAGGGTAATGGCCCACTTCTGCGCAAGGAGGAGAGCCACAAAAGGAAGGTGACAACATTAAGCTTTGTCAATTTCGACACTTAGGGCCAAGCCTCCCTGGACAAAGAGGAAGGAAATGTGCTGGGCTTCATTTTCTAGTGCCCCTCTTCCTTCCCAGACTGCCCCAAATCAACCAATTACTAGCATTAGAGTTTCCTACACTAGTCATCCAAAATTTGAGAAAGCCACAATGTCTTTTATATCAAGATGCCACTCTGGTCTCAAACAACACTTCAAAAACCTGAAATGTGAGCACTTTGGGGCTTCCAGACCACCTGCATCTTTAAAAGAATCCTTGAACAGACATGTGTTAGGCCATCTGAAGCATTCACTGTCCTTTCTCCCATCCAAGTACCATCCAGGCCCCATCCTGCTAAGCTTCCAAGAACAGTTAAGATCCAGAGGATTAGGATGGCATGGCTCTAGACTCATTGTTATTTCTCTACTGCATCTATCAGACACCTATTAACTACATCTGTGTAAAAATGAACACAAGTCGATGTACCTATCAAGTACACTAGCATGGGATACATAAATCAAGCCTTAATTTTTCAAAAATGTGTCTATAATATCAGAGTCTGAAATTTGATCCCCAGGGGGAAAAAGGAGGGAAAGAATTAAGAACTGAGATTTGGCTTTAATCCCAACATCCAGGAGGCGGAAGCACAGGCAGTCACATCCCTGGGAGTTAGAGATTTGCCTAGTCTACAGTGTGCTCCAGGACAGCCAGGACTTCAAAGAGATCTTATTTCAAAAACAAAAAAACAAATAAGCCAAAAAGAAGAAGAACTGAGACTCCGGGGTGATATTTCATGTGGCAGGTGGAGAACAACCTAGCCTTGGGAGACAGACAATAAAGGGTAGGACTGCAACATGATGTGCATGCAACTTTGCACAAGATCCACACAAAGTCCGACAGCATCCCGAAATACTGCATGCACAGCAGAAGAGAATTTTACAAAATAGGACAAGGGAGCTCCAGACACTTGTGTATCCTTATGCATCCAATAAACAAGTGAGGATACGCAGACAGGCTTCCCTTAAAGAGATGTTTTAGCGAAGTCAGCACAGAAAGTAGCCCCAACCCCACACAGCAGGAATACAGCGATCCTCAGATTCTTGCTACTTGGTGTCATTTGGCACTAGACTCCTCACACATTATATATTACTATGTATCAATGTGAAGTATTTCTTTCTGTTACTTTGCTCCCGAGCGTTACAAGGGTCTTTAATCACTTCCCCACTTTTCCATATTCATTTAATGCGGAGGGGGGTGGCTCAAATGGTGTCTGACAGCTTCCCTTGAACACCTGCTGGGCCTGCTGTGCAAAATGCAAGCAGGAACCCGTTAGCAGGGTCTAAGCCCCCGCAGAGTCAACAAGAGCGGCCTTTTCCCTTAATACCCAAAGGTACATTTATCTTTTAGTCCTACTCATTCGCGCCATCCTCCCCAGGCAACGACGCTCAGAAACTAAACCGAACTCATCGTCGCCCTCTCTGGATCAGGTGCCCCTTCCCGCGCTTTCTCCGCAGCCCCGGATCTACAGGTGCTTGTGACCTTGACTCCGGCCCTCGCACAGCAGGCGAGCGACACACGAGCGGGCGCAACGGCAGGGGAACTCGCGGCCAGCCCGTCGTCACCTCAAGTGCCCCGGAGCAGGCGCTCGACACCCGAGTGCGCACTAAGTGGCCTTCGAAGCCTCAGGAGGCGCGAGGCCGGCTGTCACCGCGCGGAAGCACTCACGAGGCCTGGAAAGGCGGGTTGGCGTTTCGGGAGTCAGGGCTTCGCCTCCGGGAGGCAGTTAGCTCCTCCCCGCAGGCCGCCCGCCCTCCTAGGGCCGGGACGCCGCGACAAGCACAGCCCCGGCAGTGTGGAGTTCCCAACGCGCGCGACCGAAGGGGGATGGGGAGGGGAGTCCGCAATTCGAAACCCGCGCTCTGCTTCCGGCCCGGCGCGCCCCAGCCTCCCGGGGGACCCTTCTCCCCAGCTCCACAAGCGACGGGGACACGCGCCGGTGCTCACCTGGCCGCGCTCCGGCGGGGACGCAACTCCAGCCGCCACTCCGGGACACTCTCCCAGCAGCCCGCGGCGGTTCCGCGCGCGACACACTCGGCCGCGCTCTCGCGCCCCCGAGGTCCCGCCCCCAGCCAGGCCTCCCTGGGCTCCCATTGGTCCCTCAACCTTTTGAATCATCGCCGGCGCTGGCGATTGGTCGGACCCCGTGGCGCGTCCGGTGCGCCCGCTCGTGAGCGTCCGGCGTCCCCACCCGGCTTATCTCTGCCGCCCAGGCTTCGCGTCGCTCTCCGTCCTGTGCCCTCCCGCGGAGTGCCCCGGACCAGCGGTGGCTGCGGGCCGGGGACGGGCCTGGGAGGAGAACGAAGCTCACCCGACCGGCATAGCCGAAGCGCCAGGTGCTGTCACGCCGCGCTCGCTGCTCCACCCGGTCCGAATGGAAATGGAGCCGGGCAGAAGCCCGCGGGCGCCACGTCCTGCCTGGACCCGACTTCAGCAGGCCCGAGTCCCAAACTTTACCCTCTCTCCCTGCTGCTGTCACTATGGGTTGCCTGCTTCCTTTCTCTCGGGGTGAGACTCTAGAGCAATTCGTTAAAGCCCCCTGCCTCGCTGTGCTGTTTTTATTTTTATTTTTTTAAAGGTATTACTACTATCCCTTAATAAAGACATTTGAGTGGATTCCTGCCTCGGAAGCAATGTGGGTTCACACGTAGGCTGAATAGGCCCTTTCACGTGCAGCCTAGCTTCAGGTGCACACGGCTGTCGTCTTCTCAGTTACAAACAAGCGAGTACGCGGTGCTTCCTCACATTGTGAGGGAGTTCCTCAGAGCCCTTCCTGAAAACAAGTGCTGACATGGAGTTGCCACCTTTGTCTTTGGGCTTGCCCTAGATGGAAAAGCTACCCACAGACTTCACAATCAGAAAACATCCAAACGTGAATCCTGGCAAATCCTGCAGATCCCTTAAGCCTCGACTCTTAAGTGTGAATCCTATTCAGAGTTCCTCAGTGAATGATAAGGAAAGGAGAAAAACCTTAAAACAAATACTATTCCTAATACCTCACGTTTTTACCCAGACCCAAGTTTTCGTTGGGTTTCCTCTACAGCACATGTTTCACGTATAAGCATTTTAACTTACAAAATAAAAGATTGAGGGGCGGGGAGGAACCATTACTATAAACATTGGATTATACTATAAACTTTATATGGAGTCTCTTCAAAAGAAAAGGTTGTGAATGAGCCTGAGGAGACAGCTCAGCCTATAAAGCCGCCTTGCAAGAATAAGGACCTTGTATTTCTACCACCACAGCAGCAGCCTGCCTCTGCTACCAAAGCAGTGACGTCATCACCTCTCGCCAGGTGCCTTTTTACCGTCGGTTCTGTGACGCTACGTGTACCCTTTAAATGTTCCCGCCAGGCACTACTTGACCTCTGCATTGTCTCTTGTCCCTCGTTGTCTCTTCTTCCCTCTCTTACCTCTTCTTTTCCCTCTGGTTTCTCTTCTTCCTGTTGTCTGTCACCTTCACTCACCCACTCCCCCCAATAAACAAACCTCTGGCACTAACTCTTGCTTGTTGCTCATTTGCTTAATGAGATACTTTGGTGGGCCCAAAGGAAGGTACTCACTATCACCTTTCTTTTTATTTAGCCTTTCATTGTGAACGGTTCAGACCCTCAGCACCCAAATTAAAACAAGAGGCAGGTGCTCTCAGACAACTGTAATCCAGTGCTGGAACAGATGTGGCTGGAGACAAACAGATCCCCCTAGACTCAGTCTGTGAAGCTAGAATCTGTGGGACACCCTGTCTCAAAGAGCGAGGGGAAGAGCAGTACGGAGAGAAAAGTGACATTAGTCTTTGGCCTACACACACACACACACACACACACACACACACACACACACTGTTAATACTGTAAATGAATTCAATACCCTGCTTTATATCCACTAAAGGCATCTGTGTGCGCATAGGCAAGGGTGAATAGGTACTGCAGAACTCGTCCCCTAATGTTAACTTTTAAATTTTTAATTTTAGTCATTAATAAGTTAGAAGGAGAGAGACATAGGTCTAGACCCTCTAGTTAATTGTGAGAATTAACTGGAAGTGGTGGGAATTGCAGCTGGCAATAATTCTATATAACTTTGTGTTACTTCAAATTCACTAAGTCACCATTTGCCATCAGTACTTTCAAAGAGATGAGATAGTGTTTTCAATACACATTGATACTGCACGTGTATCAATATCTTTTTAATGGATTTTGGGTTTTATCTAAGTATCTAAATCCTTTGGTCCAACCCCCCCCCCAAATGGCATACAGGTGAAATATCCTTACTGCAGCCTAGATTTTAAAACAATTCATCTTTTTTTTTTTTTTTTTTTTTTTTAAGAGCTGGAGTCCAGAAACATTTCTCTGCAGGAACAATCTCCCAGCTTCAGCAGGACACAGAGTCATTCAGAACTCCTGCCTCATGGATTTTGAGCGGAGATGGCAGCCTCTACTTCTCCCCATGCTTGCTGTCTCTACCCCCGACCCCCACCCCATCAGCACTCCAGAGTCCACAGACTGGCCCTTCCTTTCTCATTCTGCGCCCTCTTTCCCTGGGCGCAGAATCCCAACAAAACTTTGCAAAGTACTCCCCACACATATGACCCTGTGCATGTCACTCATGGAACATGGGAAAAAACACATTTTGTTTGTTTGTTTTTTTCTTGAGACAGAGTTTCTTTGTGTAGTCCTGGCTGTACTGGAACTCACTCTGTAGCCCAGGCTAGCCTCAAACTCACAGAGATCTGCTTCCCGGGTGCTGGGATTAACATTTTATGCTCTTTATGTCAATGGCCATTAAGTTTAGGAGTGGGGTTGCTGAATATGAAACTGTCCTGTGTATCTTCCAGAAAGCCAGCTCTTCTCAAGCTTCCCCTAGCCTGAATGAAGGCTACACAGAGAAACCCTGTCTGCAGAAGAAGAAGAAAAAAAAAAAAAAAAAAAATAGCAGCAGCAAAGGAGCTTTCCCCCTGCAAAGAATTGTTCCCACCTGCAGAGGGGATGAGGCAACCCTAGACCTCCTGTGTCTCTCCTACTTCTGCAGCTTAGTCTTGCTGGACCTTGGTGGGACATTGCCATCAGCTGTGCCAACTGGTCTTTTTTATTTTGTGGCCTGGTAGGCCAGGAACTCCATGTAGAGCAGGCTGGACTTGAACTCACAGAGATCTGCCTGCCTGCTGGTATTAAGGCCATGCACCACCATACGGGGCTGCTGTTGACCTTTCTTCCCTTCCCTCCACCTTGGTCCTGTTCTCTGCACCATCATTCCCCTTAATCCAGACCGTGTAATCGAATGTTTCTTTTGAAACCCATGGTGTATTTCCAGAGGAGGTCAGGCCCTGATCCCAAACCCCTGGTTTGTTTTAGCAGGGCTACATACTGCTCATCTACAAAGACAGCCTCCACCCACCCCTCCACCATGTATGGAGGGAGATCAGATAAGGAATGAAATACACCTGTGTATGTAATGCATCTTTCCCTTTCCGAAGCACTGGAGTGGGAGGGTGGAGCACATAGGTCCAGTGCTGCCATTCCTGTGGCCCTGACTCCACCCCCAGCACCACCAAATAATTACATAATGACTACCAACTTATGTCTCCACTCTGGATGAAGATAAGGCTCAGCCCCTCATTGTTAATTTCTGGCACTTAAATTTACCTCCCATGATACAGCCCTATCACTAAACTACTCCCTCTCCTTTTACCCTTTAGGAGAAGTGGAGTCAGGGCAGAGAAGGGGAAGGAGAGATAGTGGGGTATTGTCTGGTGAAGCCCTACTGTGTGCCATAGGTATTCCTTATTATCTCAGTGAACACATTACCATCCCCATTCATAGTATGAGGAAACTGAGACTCGAGGAAGCTAACAAAACTTGCCCAAGACCATACTTAGCATGTAAATACTACATGTAGGAACTCTAATCTAGGATCTAAGGAAGCAAAGGGCCCAAAAACATCTGTTTTCTCCACCAGGGCTCACCTGGCTGCTAACCATTAACATCCATTGCCATACATCACATCTAGTACAAGATGTGTTGTTCCAGGTAGGCCCTCCTGGGGACCCTTGCCCACATTTGGGGATCCCTCCTCTCCTTCAGGACACCGTGCATTGACCTCACCTGGCCCTCCCTTCTGGGTTCCTTCCTCCCTGTCTCTGACCACAATTTCTTTCAATTCTCCATTCCGGATCCTTGGGAACCTGTGCCTTCCCTTCCAGGCACTGTCTCAGAACACCCACATTTAGCACAAGTCGCTGTAATCCCCATACTATTCATAGTACAATACTCTGTGTGATTAAATCTATCTCAAACATGTTTGAGGGGGAGGATAAAAATATTTGAGATGAATATTCGAGGTCATATTTGCATAATTAATCTTCATTCATTTCTCTTCATCTAACTTGAACAAGACTATTAACTGATACAGCAGGATTGTTACAAGCCCAGAACAGCCTGGTATAAAGAGTAAATTTCTGTCTCAAAAAGCCTCTTGGGGGCATAATAATATATTTATTTTTGTTATTATTATGATGATGACAATGGTGCCTCTGTGTGTGTGTGTGTGTGTGTGTGTGTGTGTGTGTGTGTGTGATGGACAAGCATATTAGGGCATCCATGTGAAGTCAGTTTTCTAACCTTTCCCGGCCTGTCAGTTGCAGGGGTTGAACTCGAGACATCAGACTTATGTGGGAAGTGCCATCTCGAAGGCCCTAAATTATTTTATCCATAGCACCTACAGGCAGTGCTTTGGAAAGTGTCCTCAAAGATCCATATGTTAAAAATCTTCCCAGCTTGTGAGGCTTTGGGAAATGGTAGAGTCTTTAAGAGGTAGTGCCCAGGAGGTTTTCTTTTGTTTTATTTTCAAGGCAGGGTTTCTCTGTGTAGCCCTGGCTGCCCTGGAACTCACTCTGTAGAGCAGGCTGGCCTTGAATTCAGAGATCTGATGCCTCTGTCTCCAGAGTACTGGGATTAAAGGCATGTACCACAACATATGGTGAGTCTATGAGGTTTTAAGTCATCAAAATGTTCCCTTTAAGAGAATTGTAAGACCATAGTCTCCTCCTCCTTCATTAAAAAAATTTTCTCACTATAAGCCATAAGGTGAGTAACTGCCCTGCCCATACACTTCC